GCTGCCTCTTTGTCCAGTGATATGTTTCCTCCATGCATTGCACAAAAGGAAGGTGTTTTCTACAGGTTAAACACCATCAATCCTGGCTCTTCAAGTGGGTATTGGAGATGTGATGTAAATAGCAAGCTGTTTTATCTTTGTAGATGGCTCATTGCTATGGGCTGGAACTAACAAGTGTGCAAAGGTGACTGATGCAGCCAAAAAAATTAAAGTTCATACTTCTGGGATTGACTCTACAAGACTGAAGGTGTGGGAGGTGAAAATAATTAACCAGATGATTTTACCTTAACATTTGGAGAAAGTCCATTCTCTGACACGGTCAATCTGTTGTCATATCCCTGCTCTCTGCTATCTCTGATGTCTATCCATTGGTCATGAAGAACATTTTCAATCATCTCTGCTATTTCTCTTGTAAAAGTCCTTGAATTCAAGAATATTTCTTCCTGTTGCTAAAACTTTCACATTCTGCCCAGTAAAATGTCTCCGCAGCAATGACTGAATGATAAATAGCATCCTGCCGTTAGAATTCTTTTCAAAACTCTTCTACAACATAATTCAATGAACTCATTCAGAGCTCAGATAATGTGTCAGCCTAGTTCCTTTGTTTGTCAGTGCTCATTCATCTGTGGGTCATAATTAGACAAGAGCTCTGGTGTGTTGAGAAAATTTGCATTTTGGGTGTCATCAAGGTCTATTCTATGCCGTGTGCATGTAGTATTTTCTGCAAGAGAGCTCTATCTTTCTCAGTTTCTGTTTCTATCTGCCTTCATTGCTACTAGCTGCCATTGCTGCTGCAAATTTATTCACGTCTTTATCACCTCAAGACTACTGCAACAACATTCTGTATGGCACATCCGTCAAACTCCTCAACAAACTACAGTAGATCCCAAAAAAAATCCAAATTCTCCTCATCACCTACAAAGCCCTCAACAAACTTGCCACCCCCCACCCATTGACCTGCTGCACCGACTACCTGAAACCTCCTCCTTTGTGACATGGTGTGACTGCAACCACCTGCGCCTCAACACAACCAGGGACCAAAGGAGATGGTTGGACCTCAGGAAGGCCCAGGGCTCACCCCGAAACCGGGTGACCATCAACCGGTGACGTGTGGAGGGTCGTTTACAGACTTACAAATACCTGGGAGTACACCTGGAGATTAGGCTGGGTCTGGAATGCAACAAGTTCGGGCCCTGTTGCAGAAGGGTCCAGGAGGGGCCGGTTATACTTCCTCAGGAAAGGCTTGCGTCCCTTCAACATCTGTGCAAGAAACTTGCTGTAGATGTTCGGATTCAGACTGGTTGTGGGTGTAGGACTGGTCCTATCGGTCTCCACCTCTGCCAGGAGGCCTTTAGTGCGTTTCTTAATTTTACACGTTATTTTATTGATTCCTGATTTCTCTCTCCCAGTACAGCAGGATCTCTATCTCTCTGACCTTTGAACTGTCAGTGGGAGGGAGGGTGAGGACTTTGGCGCCAGGGGAAGGTCCTCTCCTCCTCTCTTCTCTTCTCACAGATTGCGGATCTTTGAGTGTCAATCTACCCCCCCACCCCTCTTTTCTTTCAATGACTCCTCCACAGAACAACACCAAACCTTTTGGGATCCAAGGCATCTGGAGGTTATTTTTGGGAAACCGGTTTGGTTTCTTACAGAAGATGGTGTGATAATAGGTGTTTTTGTTGTAATTGGACCACATAGACCTGGAATGTGGCTCACATCTCTTTTGATCTGACAGACTCACCTCCAGGGAAGAGACAGGCCCTTGGAATCCACAGTCTGTGGTTAATTTAACTCCCTTTCCCTCATGTGTGGAATTACGATTGTTTATTCTTGTTGATACCATGTCTTCAGGTCTACAGGCAGAAAAACAACATACATTGGTTTGAATTAGGGCCTTTAATTTAGTTACTAAGGCTAAAATTTAATCTTGCTGTCCTAATTAACATGATTGGCTATGCTAGGGCATTAGGAAGATCAAAATGTAAGGTTGATCTTGATGTTTCTGGCTGTCCAGGATTAGACTGGAGTTACAAGAAATCATGTATAAAATGGGTCTGAATGTTGATGTGAGCCACAGTGCCATGCTTTTGGGTAGACTCTGGTATTAAGCAATAAGGGTATTTTCAAGACGGATGTTTTAATTCATTTATACGCTTCCCTTTTTCACCGGAGTTGATTGTTATGTTTATGTTATGTTGTAAACAAATGTATTAAGTCATGAGTGGATTTTGCTAAACGGTGAATTATTGATCTCGGAAAAACTTTAGGACGATAGTTAAAAGTTATGTCCTGGTCCAATCAGGAAGTTCACCAGAGGGAAGTGATGTGCGGGTCAGTTTCCCCTCGGTTCAGGTCCCGGGCCTCCGAATAAGAATATAAAACTACTGGTAACTCCCTTTGGAAGCGTCTCTATCTCTGTCTTCTTAGTCTTCTGCTTTGCTTCTTTACGATTCATTTTTCCTTTCTTTTGGATCTTCGGTATAATTTATTTCCGTACTTTTACTTTACTTTTGTTTTGGACTTGATTTGGAATCGTCCTTGAGGCTGAAGTTACATTTCTAAGTCTTTTATTTTGAAGCTGGAAAAGACCGCCTCGAATTAAATACTTTTGCCAGTCTAAGAATAAATATCAAGTCAGAGTTTATTATCGCCTTATTCAAAGAAAGTGAACTTAATTGGGAATTCTTGAGATTTAGTAGACGACGGCAGGATTCGGCCAAGGCCAGCGTATTCGTCCTACAGTATATATTTTATGCTTAGCGTTGGATAATTCACCATCAAGAGGGCTGTTGACAACCATTCTTTTAAGTTCTAAAGATTTGGGCCATAAATTGGTTAACCGCAGTAGTTCACTGCTCAAGGAAGACACGAAACTTTCCAGCCGCGACAAAAATTTATTCTCCCAGTCATATTGGCCCAAGCGATCTCCTAATGTGCCATTGCCGGCCACGGGGGCTCCAGGGAGGAGAATTGGTACCGGGTTGGTGATTACGTTTTGGACCTGGGATTCTGAACCACAGGGGCTTGCGGTTACCGGCCGGAGGAGAAACCTCCTAACACCCTCATCTACGACAAAAGTAGGGGCAATACAGAAAATAGACATACACTTGCTGAGGTTCACCAACAACATGAAAAAGGAGTTGAGATTGTCCAGTCTATAAGCCTACTTGGGATAAGGCAATCGAACATTAAAGAAACTTAGCTATAGAGGTTTTATATTCCATTATATTGAATATATAGGGTACTGGATACAATTATATTATAATATACTCCCCCCGTTGATATTTTTAAAATTTGCCAACCGAATTCACA